ACATTCTGTGCCACCAGGCCTTTGTTTAAACTGTTCCCCTTGTCTGAAAGGCCCTCTTCTCTCTTGTCTGCTTCATTAAAATTTTCTCATCCTTTCAGCTCAAAGATCTCTGAGAAGTCTTTTCTAATTCCCCATCTAACTATAGTATAATGGCACTTACTACATTATAGTTGCTTTCCTGTCATCTCCATAGCACTATACTGAGTTCCTTGAGGACAGGATCTCTTGTCTTTTTGTGATGGACTTGTGCTGTTTTTGCCTGCTAGGCACTTGAACCATACTCTGGTTTCTCATGGGAATCATACTCTGATTTCCTTTGGGGAAACATCCCTCACCTCCCTGACTCTCATCAGTGAATGTGGCTCCTGGCATAAATATATGACATAGGTCCAGTCAGTCAGTTCATCCCAATCTAGTGCCATAGTGATTGGTCCAGCAAAGAACTTCTGAACCAAAGAGGACCGATTAGGGTCAACCAGGACTTCTGCTGGAATTGCTGGGCCAGAGAATTCTTGGAACTCACACAGTAGCACATTCCATTGGTCAAAGAACTTGTGATCATTGTTTTAAACTGTTCCATTCTACCCTCAGGCCTCATGCAAATATACCCAACCTCTCCCAAAGTCTCATTGCATAACAATATCAGGCTCAGGCCAGAGGTCCAGAATCACTTCTAAACCAAGTCTATGTGCATTTGAGGCTCTTCAGGGCTGGTTCCTTGGGTAAGGCTGCACTCTACCTGAAGGCTTCAGAATAAGAGAGACAAGTTATTTACCCCCATCTCTCCCCCGCCCCACACGGTGTAAATAATGGGACAGGCATAGGACTACCGCAATAGTTGCTCTGGTTCAAAAGGGAGGAAATGAAAGAGATGCAGCAGATACAGTTTTGACAATTTTGAACTCCACCTGGGGTTGACTAGGGCCCTGTCTCTGGCAGTGACTCTTTGTGGCTCTTAACTCCATTCTCTGGCCTCTTAGCTTTGCCTTCTGAGTCATCTTCTTTTCCGTAGGAATCAGCCCATATTGTAGTTAAATCGTTTTTTCAGCCTACTTCCTGCCCATAGACATTCAGGAGTCCAAAGGCTGCTTCATTTTGTGCCATTTCTATCTCTTTCAATCTGAACTGGTGGTGCTACTACAAATACAGCTATCTTAAAAACTGTGGTTTTTATCTGAATCTTATTGGGGATCACTCCAATAAGTGACAATAGTCACACTCGTAAATCTGTTTAGGACAAGGTCTTCATCTTGGGCCCTCAGTGAAGCTGCTGAAGGGTAATATCTTTAAGATCCTTGGAAACCCTATTGTTTAACAGAGCAGGTTTGCAACCCTTAAAGAGCCTTAAGAGTGCTTCTGTCGGAAAGTTTCTATGAGGCACCATCAAAGCTCTTTCTGAGGTCTTAATAGAGGGTTTTACAGTCATACCTTTGGCTTCATCTTTGCTGGGAGACCATGTTTTCCTGACAGTGCCTTGGATTTGATCTGTGCCCTGAGGCTCTTACTACTTTGAGAATTCTTTGCTGACTGGAAAGACTGTCCTGGACTTTTTACATCTCCTCCAAATTTTGCTTAAAAACAGAATAATTTCTTCCTTAGCTTTTCTCTTATTCTCTGTTTCTTTTGACACAAAGCCAAAACAAGCCAATGGACATTTTCAACATTCTGCTTGGAAATCATCTTAGCCAGATCTATCAGTTCATTATTTTTCTATTTTTCACTTTAGTGTAGATTAAAGTTTTGTTAAACTTTCTACCACGATATAACAAGGGTCTCTGTTCTTCCAGGTTTCATTGATATTTTCTTCAACTTTCCTTTGAACCTTCATATACAGTTTCCTGGAGGCCCTTCGAGCTTTTTCTCACAGTCTCATTGAGACCTGTCAGGCATCTCCTATCACCTGATCCCAAAACCAATGCCGTATGTTTTAGGTTTTGTTACAGCAGTGACTTACTTCCAGGTACCAAATTCTGTTCCAGTTATCTGTTGCTGCATGGCAAACTACTTCAAACTTAGTGGCATAAAACAACAGCCGTTTTGTTGTGCTCACAGATTCTGTGGATTAGGAATTTGGACAGGGCATGTAGGGGATGGTTTGTCTATGCTTTGTGATGTCTTGGGCCTCAACTGGGAAGACTCAAATTGTTGGGGGCTAGAATAGCTGGAGTTGGAGATTCTACTTCCAAGATGATGTCCTCCCTCACATGGCTGCCACTTGGTGAGCATGGCAGGAGCTCTGGGCTCAGCTGGGTCTCTTAGCTAGAGTGTCCACACATGGCCTGCCTGGCATGGAGGAAAAAGGAGTTAACAAAAGGTCATAGAGCTAATGAGGGACAGGGTGAGGCTCACTCCTTTTGGCAGGATTTCCTCAGAAAAGAAAGCAGAGACTCCAGGAGACGTTGGGGATAGCAGTCTGGGAAGAAAGGATCTTAGCTGACTGTGTGTGGCGCGCTGGGTGGGGTGGACAGTGAGAAAACAAACACAGGTTTGCTGAGAGTAGCCAGGCTTGAGTGGAGACAGATGGCACGTGTGAGCTGGATCAGGTCAGCTCAGCTCTGGAATTTCTCCAGCCTAGCTTGGGAGCCTGGGAATGGGAATGAAGTGTAAAGTGTGAAGACCTTTCCTGGGGTGAGAAGGATGTGCACAGAGGTCACCACTCGAGCGTGGCAGCAGCTGCCAGAAGGGAGTGGATGGTTTAGTGGTTGAATAGTGGCCCCCAAAAGGGATGTCCAAGTCCTAACACCTGGTACCTATGAATTTGACCCTTTTTTGGAAATAGGGTCTCTGTAGATGGAATTAAGGATCTTGAGAAGAGATCATCCTAGATTTAGGATGGCCCCTAAATCCAATGACAAGTGTCCTTATAAGAGAAGGGAGAGACACAGAGATACAGAGGGAAGTACCAGGTGAAGACAGAAGCAGAGGCTGGTGGGCAGCCACAAGCCAAGAACACTAAGGAGAGAGACATGGAATGAATTCTCCCTCAGGGCCTCCAGAAGGAACCAACCCTACTGACACCTTGATTCTAGCCTCCACAACTGTGGGAGAATAATTTAGCTCTGTTGTTTTAAGCCACCCAGTTTGTGGTTATTTGTACGGCAGCCCTAACAACTGATGACGATAGAATGAGTAGAAAGAGATAGTGAGGCTGAAGGGCTGGTTGGAGGCAGGAGGCGGCGAGGGAGCCCAGGGTTGCCAACCCCCCCCACCCCCCACCGCCAACTTGGACTGTCATCCCTCCCTTACCACCAGTCCATGCCCCTCTGCCTTCATTCACTTCAAGCCCTGACTCAGAGTCCCCTCTGGTCCACTGTTCCGCATCTGCTCACATTTACTTGGGACTCTCAGCCAAGCAGTCTGGAGCTGCTGGGTATGTTTTCTCTCCTGCAGCACCGCGGGTGATTTCTTCCTCTCCTGGCTCTTGCTGTCTATAG